AAAAAGATGTTTTTTTAAAGTTACGTTGTTTATAAAAATACAGATTCTTTTCTAGAACTTTTAAGCTCTACAGTGCCGGCATTGATACTGTACAGTGCCGGCATGCAGTGTTTCTTTTTTTTTTTCTCTCCGGGGGGGGGGGGGGGTGACTTGATATTTTCGGGGGGCGGACTGCAGTTTTCAGAGGGGGGGGGGCGGACACTGGCAACGGAAGTTTTCTATATAAATTTCATTTCGTTCGGGGGGTAACTGACCCCCCCCCCCCGAAGAGATGCCTGGAAGAAACTCTGCTGGCATGTAGGCCATACAGTGCCGGCATGAAAGACCACATTGCCTGCTAGAAATTACAACTGCACACATTTCAGTGCCACACAAACATCATTTTCAACGCCAAAAAAAAAAATTCTCGACAACCTGACCCCACCCCTATCCACTTTTTACTCACTAATTTGGGACCTAGTCATATTTGGATGGATAAAAAAAACGACAACCCAAGATGGCCGCCAATATGACCTCCTTTAATTGGCCTGCTGACATTTTATACCATCTCGAAGATGTTGAAAAACATCAAGGAAGAAAAAAAATATCCGCTTCGTTTTTTTATCAGAAGTATTTTGTAATGTCAGTGTATGACAAGTCTAATTATAAAATCAGGTTATTAAAGTGACATAAGGTTTACATTTTTATCAGGTTTCAAATTTTGAGAAGGAAATCTCAAAAACAAATGACAAACTGACATAAGATTTTAAATTTGAGAAGAAATTCTTAATTAGGGTTGTGCACTTTCGATGCAGAGTTATTGAGATGTTAAAAAAAAAGAATGAGGTTTTAATTACCGTTTTTGCAATACTAATAGGAAATAAATTAGTGACTGTGTTTATATGTGTGAAAATACGAACATCTATAAGCTAGTATGTATGTGTGTTTAAGGGTTAACCAGTATTTAGCGACCTGAATCTGTTATGAACATCACATTACTTTTGCCACTGAAGAAATTATCTTCGCTTTTATTTAACCTTCATTTTTTTCCCCCTAGCATTCTCCATCGCGTAACAACAACAACATTTTAATGTGACAACCACAGCTACACCAACATTTTAATTTGACAACCACAGCCACACCAACATTTTATTTTAACAACCACAACTCCGCCGACATTTATCTTTGGCAACCACGGCATCAACATTTCAATTACGCAACATCTCCTCTACCATGCCTATTTAACGATCGTAACTACCCCGAAAATCTTCTTTGTCAACCAAAACTCAACCACCAGTTACCATGGTAACCAGTACCACACAATTCAACTCTTTCGACGTGAGTCTCACTACCCCCCACAAAATACATTTCCTGCCCTTATTATTTTCACAAAACATTCTCTCCCCTATTGTCATGGTCTCTAACTCCTGTCTCCTTCGTGTAAAAAAAAAAATATCATTATCTCCCCTACAAAAATGTGGGTTTTTTTTTACGCTAACCATATGTTTTTTCCCTCAGAATTTCCCCTTTCTATCTTCTATTATGGTCAAGAATTTTTCTGGTTAATCGATTGGAAAATGCTCTCCGATAAGCGTCCGCTAAACTATTATACTCAAGGTTCTACGGTTTATTCTCAAACGCGGTGTAAACAGTTTAGGATGTGTAAAGAATCCTCTATAGACCTAGCGATCCATTGGGCAGATGAAGTAGAGTTCATATGTTATTTTACGTCGGCATGTGAAGGGAATGTGTAGTCAGCACTTTGCCCAGCCGCCTTTAATTTCCCTAACATGAGTTAGGTACCCATCAGAGCTGGGTGGACTCAGGGAGGTTCTACTGACTAGGATCGGGTTAGCAGCCTAGCGCTCTACCGCCTAGGCTACACCGTTCCGTTTTTGTACCGGAATAGTGTATGTGGCGTGCCGGCACAGTTAATATTTTACCAAGATAGAGATTGTGTGATGCCGGCATGGAGGCTGTACACGCTATAAAATTTAAATTAGATATAAATCAAAGCAATAGAATATATATATATATATATATATATATATATATATATATATATATATATATATATATATATACGTATGTGTCTGAATGTGTGAAAATAAATGAATAAATATGAATTTAAAAAAAAACCATGGGATAGTAAATTGCAAGCAGTACAGTGCGCTTTTCATTTGTAGAAAAAGATGCTATTACTGAAAGACTTAGGGGTGGTATATATATATATATATATATATATATATATATATATATATATATATATATATATATATACATATATTTTCCTATTGTATGTATGCATTCCTATTGTTATCTACCTGTTACAGCAGACACTATTCTGGCTGCCTCGCCTCTCACCCCCTACCGCCACCCCCAGGACTGCCACCCCAAGACACATACGCTTCAGTCTTTAATTGAATTAGAACCTGTAGAGCGGTACATCCGGCGGCCCAGCGCCACAAACAACGGGGCCCTGGTGATTCCAACTCGAGGCTATTTCTGCCCTCGATTCCGCCAGCCTCGTCGCCATGGCAACGGGTTAACAATGTCTATTTCGGAATACTGCAAGTGTGTTCTGATATTTCTTCCCCCCCCCCCCCTCCCTCCTCCATCTTGCTTTCTGTTTTTTCGTCTCTTATATCCGTCTCTTGAAGATTGATTTACAAAAAAAACCGCGCTGAAAATTGTTTAATTTGCTGTTAAACCGTATCTTTTACTGTAGACAACACAAGCGCATCTTTTCTCCATTGTCTTGCACAAGGGGAAGTAACTTTTGTTTGTGAAATAAGGGGAAATAATTCACTACAATTTGTTTTAAGTATAGACCCGGACTAAAACGACAAGCTCTTGTGTCGTCTGCTCTCCGCCTCTAACTGAAAGACCGCAGCCGCTGCATGTCTGAACAAGCACTTTTTAACCGTCAGCCATCTTGGCAATATGTCCATCCAGCCATCTGCAGTGTTGGGTAAATTATTTGTCGGTTGCTTCCCTTGGTGTCAGTGAAAGTGGAGGGAATAAAAATGTATGACTTCTGTGAGGTTGTGTCAGGAGTAGAGGTTGTCCTTAGTTTGTTATGTGGTGAAATCAGTGGCGTAGCGAGGTCGGGTGTCACCTGGTGCGGCACTTAATGGTGTCACCCCCCAGAGGCATAGAGACCCTTCCCAGGGACAAACTTTCAAACTTTCAATTTGCACCCCCCTCAAGTTTTCGATTTGCACCCCCCCCCCCCCTCGAACTTTCGATTTGCACCCCCCCTCGAGTTTTTCTCTATATATTTTGCTATTTTTTGCTTTGGTGTCACCCCCCTAAATGGTGTCACCCGGTGCGGTCCGCACCCCCCCCCCCCTCGCTACGTACCTGGGTGAAATAATAATGTATCACCATTGTGAGGGTGTCCCTATTTCGTTATGTGGTGACATTAAATACATAACCTAGTTAAGCTGGTTTGTAAACACCGCTAGATAGGCTATTACTAAATTGACCGTAAAATCAATACTCATTTAATTATTACATTACTGAAAAACATCATGTTCAAAATCAAACAATAACAGTACTTCGAAAAAATATTAAGATTGCCAACATCTTCAAAAAAAAAAAAACACGTTACATTTTTGAAAGTTTCAGCGTTACAAAGTATTAGAATATCTCCAACGAACACATCAAGATGTTTCCATATTGACTGTTATACTAAAATCAATAATTTCTGATCCGTTATTTCACATGTTTGTTATAAATATGACTTTGTAAACTTACTATCATTTTTTTTTCTGGGATTGTTACTGGAACCAGTTTTTATTGTGTGTGAGTACTAGCTTTCTGGTGGTTGAGAGATAACTTAGTGTTCACCGCTTGTAGTAGTTTCAAACTTCTTTGGAGTCCTCTGCGCATGTCAGGTACATGCCCACAAAAGTAAACCTAGACTTATAAATCGTTCTTTAATATAGTGACTACTACAACTGATGAACTCTACGTGCCAATAGACCAGATAGCACTCGATCAGAAAGGGGGTAGTGGTCAACTTAATGTTCATTTATCTAGAAAACCGTTCAGAATAATTTTCAATCAGAAAGGTTTAAAACTTTTCTGATAGCAAAAACTGCACGTTGAGCACGACTTGGATTATTTCAAACAAAAATAAATCACCAACACATTCTGCACTTTTAATACATTAAATTGACAATAATATTTTTTTATCTTAAAATATCCTCTTGTTGTCTACAGAATTGATTCGGCGATTCAATTCCAAACTATGTGAAGGAAATGCAAATTATTTTATTTTTTTCATTCAAGATATTTTTTTTAATCAGACGAGAGAATTTATTTTATTTTAAATTAAATAAAACCTGTTGAACTGTGCAATCATTTTCCTTCTCCTGCCTTAGGGCGGACATTTTGCATGTTAAATCTGACAAAAAAATTGCTTTATTAAATTCTTGTTTTTCTTTTAAACAGATGAACAGTCTCTGAAGTGTGTGGAACAAATGAACAGAAATTGTATAACAGTTTGGATCTATTGCCATCTGGATGTATGAGTAACCTGACTTTGAGAGCTGGAATTCGAAGCTGGATTTCAGCAGCTGGCCTACACGAATGTCAACCGCTTGCAGCTGTAAACACCACACTATGTACACTCCAGAATATCTGTACTGACGAAACTACAAGACACTCCACTAACTGTGTACACGAGTCACAGTACACTCTACGTAACAACACTTCAATCTAGTCCTTCGATCACTATACTCTCTACGTATGCGCGAAGAAATTCAAGACAGTTATAAAAGGTACGAATATATAACGTTGCATGTGATTTTCAAACATGTTGACTACAACTTGTGAATTCCACTTGAAGGCTGTTTTAATGGTAATGTTGTTTACATCGGGATGTTTATAGTTCATGGCATCGATTTAGTAATACGTCTAGTTTTCTAAATGACAACTAGGCACTGTATGGATTAATATTTAAATATTTCTACTGTTGTGGTTGAAGTGCTAAGCGTGCGAGTGTCATGGAAGAGTTTCACAAAGCTGACAGATGGTTGCTCGTGTGAAGGTTGACATCCAACCACACCGCCATGACAACCACGCGCGAGGTCGCGATGACCACGTCCTTGACCCCTGCCAACACCTCGGCCCAGGCCGCCGCCCACTTCCTGAACAGGTGCCAGGAGGAAAGCCGCGAGGCCAGGCGCGGCTACTACGTCACGCTCTGCATCGCCGTCGTCATCGTCACCATCATCGTCACCACCATCGTCACCAACTTCATCGTCGTGGTCGTGTTCGTCACGCGCGAGAACCGGAAGCGGAGCAAGAATATTTATCTGGCCAACCTATCTTTGATCGACTTGATCATTGGCCTGAGCATCATGCCCATCTGCATGCTGAGCGTCCTCAACCGGAACTGGAACCTGCCTAACGTCGCCTGCAGGTTCCACCTGATTGCGCTTCACTCCCTGGTCTTTGCATCTCTGTTAGCCGTGCTACTAGTCAGCGTAGACAGATGGTATTCTATATGCTACCCCTTCACCTATAGAGTCAAACCCACCGGTAGAATAGCTCTGTACGCCGTCGTCGCTTCTTGGATTTTCTCATTCATGCTCCATATCCCATTCGTCGGAGTCTGGGATTTGATACTTCATGAAAAATGGGAAGAGATGGACAACGGTTTGTGTTTAGCATCGCGCCGGCAACATCCGGCTGCCGTGTTTATCCTTACCGGATTAAAATACATCGTCCCCCACGTGACCATGCTCCTGCTGAAATGCAGCCTGTACCGGAAGATCAAACAGAGGAAAAACGTCAACGTACGCCGGTCTATCAGCAGCGTGGACACGGCGGCATTTTGCCTGATACGGGCCTCCATGTCGGAGACGGCCATGAACGCGTTGGCCGAAGCCGCGGAGAACATCAACAGCGGTCCGCGTGTCCGCATCATGTGCCCGCCCCCCATCGAGAGAAGAAATACCATGGATCTCCTCCCTCCGGCGAATAATTCCGGACCCTCGCGATCCGTCGGCAGCCGGAGCTGGTCCGGCTCCCCCGACCAGCGTCTCAGCTTCCCCGGACCCCCGACGCTCGTCCGGCGAATGTCCTTACAGGACTGTCTCCTCTCGCATAACAAACGCAACAGCCGCAGCCGGTATTTCCCCAACGGATTCGGCAACGAGAACCACATCGACAACCGCAGGGCCACCATCGGCGACCTGGCGAAGAACCTGCTGGACAAACAAGACTCCAAAGCCGCCTGGTTCCTCTCTCTTCTGCTCGCTATCTCCATGTCGTGTTGGACGCCCTGGACCGTGCTCAGCGTGTGTTACCAGTTTTTCATATTCCCCGACTGGCTCCATGACGTGGCGCTCTGGATCCTGCTCACCAACTCCACCGCCAACCCGTTCTTGTACGGGCTGCTGAACAAAGATTTTAGAAAAGTCGTCTCATCATGGCTTCAGTTAAGGGGAAGTAAGAAAAAGCGCCTGAAAACGGCGCTGCGAATGTTAAGCTGGCAAATGGCATGGGGGACTATCGATCTCGCGGAAGGGGAGAGAACTCCGGAAGCACGATCTAGCCTTACGCCATGTAAAGAAGGCGAAGAATGCTAAAACAAAAACAATTAAATTGCTAAAACGAAAAAAATGGTGTCTAAAAAATGAAAGAAATGTCAAGAAAACTGAAATAAAATATCCATCGAGGGCGCTTCAAAATTTGGAACATTTTTTTTAAGTATTTTTTTTTTATTTAAATCTGACAATGTTGAAATCCTTTTAAATATTTATACAAATCTTTTGTATTTTCAATGTTGTTGATGCCCGAGTTAACTCCCTTCGATTATTCCATCCTAATTGTTTTTCTCCGGTTGACAAAGTTACCTATGACATGTAAGCCATTACTTATCGTATGTTACCTTTTATATGTACGCCATTGTATGACATTCCTACCACATATTCTCATTTCTTATACATCTTCACCCAGCTATTCAACAATCATATCATACAATGTATTAAAAGTAAATTTATTGTTTTTCAATCAAAATAAGAAAAATAGAGAAACATCAAATATGACTGACATACTGGAAGTACTTTTACAACAATATTTAAAATAAACATGACAGCTTACGCGACTATAAAGCACATTGACGCTGAACACTAGAGCAAACAGTTGTTAAGCCAGAGAGTTAGGTTTCAAACCTCAGCTATAAACAGACGCTCGTATGTATCCAGCGAGAGGTTTGCTAGCATACTCAGTCCTTCATAGCAGTAAAAGAAAGTAAACGACCCTTTCGAACCTGACTGCCACTGTGGCAAGAGAAGTAGTTAATGTGCTTTTATTATGCTCAGCCGCCTTTACTTTCCCTAGCATTAGGTTAACCAGAATTAAACGCGAGACCTTCGGGTTAGCAGTAGTATGCTCTGTGATCCGACCACACCGTCCCCTCCATGACAGCGTATAATACCGACTTGTTTTTATTTACCATGGACGTTGACACTCCATACAAACAGTATACACATAAGCCTACATATATTTAACACAGTAGATGCCTATGTCTAGCCATGGACGTTGACTCTCCATACAAACAGCATAAACACAAACCTACAAATATTTATCACAGTGGATGTCTATGTCTAGTCGTCACAAGCGAGGACACTCAATAACCAAACTATGGACGACCACTCTGGATATCGTATGTAGCAACAACGACCCTGAATAACTCCGACCTGCACTAATTCCCGAAGAGTAACACAAAAGCAACGCTGACAAAAGTTTATCTTTAGGAAAGAAAATTTCCAGTTAAATGCTATAACGATTAACGGAAGTTGAAGATTAGCCATTTAATTTAATAAGAATCACTTGTGCTAAAACACAAAACTCGAAAATGAAAAAAAGGTTTTTTCTGTCAATATTTACATGAATGATTTAAAACGTTTTCTCGGAGAACTTTTGTGTTTACGTTACGTGCAAAACTTTAAAAATATTTGTTTTTCAATGTAAAGCACCATACATTAAAACCAGTATCAAATGTATCGGTGAAGTACGACAAAGAAAACGGTGGGGCTAACCAGAAGAAAAAAGACACTACAATCTGTGATCAATTATCTCAAGACCGAAAACTAACTCTAAACCACAACGACAAAACGACGTGATGTATAATACCGCTCTAGACGATCTCAGTAACAGTGCAGTCACACAACGACAATAGTATGTGCACAAAACAACAGCATGAAAAAGTACTTGTTGACTGATATGGTATGAGTCTACTAAATGTGTCTAAAGCTAGTGTCGGTGTGTGTTAAATTTTAGCACGATGTGTATCAACCCACTTAAAGAAATAATACGGGAAAATATTGTGTTTTTTCAATGGTACGTTTTAAATGCTCGAAGGCTAATCACACTAATTTGTTTGTTTAACCCCCCCCCAGCCCATACTAATTACAGAATGGTGCTAGTCAGAGGCGTAGCGAGGGGGGGGGGGCGGGGGGTGCGGACCGCACCGGGTGACACCATTTAGGGGGGTGACACCAAGGCAAAAAATAGCAAAATATATAGAGAAAAAGTTGAGAGGGAGGGAGTGCAAATCGAAAGTTTGAGAGGGAGGGGGGTGCAAATCGAAAGTTTGAGGGGGGGGGGGGTGCAAATCGAACGTTTGTAGGGGGGTGCCAATCGAAAATTGAAAGTTTGTCCCCGGGAAGGGTCGCTACGCCTCTGGGGGGTGACACCATTAAGTGCCGCACCGGGTGACACCCGACCTCGCTACGCCACTGGTGCTAGTACCAACCATTGGATTGGACCCATGGTTAGATTTCAATACATTATTTGAGACCGTTTAAATCTTAATTTTAATAAATTCGTCTTACTGTAAGTAAGTTTACCTCTTTTTTTGCAAATTCGTCTTACTGTAAGTAAGTTTACCTCTTTTTTTGCAAAATAATATATATTATTTTAAATTAAATTAAAAATCTTTTAGTATTTTATGTTTATTATTTTTTTAAATCAGTAGGCCCTACACCTAATATTGACCCAGCTCTGCAAATATTTTAGACAGACAATGCAATTTTAATAAACGTGGGCGGTTCGGATGGGAGTGGGCTGAAATACGATGTCAGTTTTAGGGGTGTGGTCTGACATTTTACGATTGCCAGGTGAATGGAAATCTCTCAACGTGTGGCGTAATTTTTGGAAGCAGCCATATGTTTAGTACATATATATATATATATATATATATATATATCATTTAAAATATATTCTTTTATCAACACGCATATTTTGAAAACCTTTTTGTAAAATACGCGCTATCAACATTTTTTCTTTTGTTAACAATCCACCACGTATTCAATCGTAAACATTTTTTTTTGTAACTTCAATATAAATATTTAGGAGAAGATGTAATTTATTTATGTGTGACTGTAAAGACCAACAATGCATTTTCAACCGTGTAAATAAGGGGACAGTCGAAAATAAATAATCTGTCTATACTTTCAAACGTTATGCTTTGCTGATTTTTGTATATTATGGTGCTTATCACATCCTTACCTAATCACACAGCCTTTAGAAAAATTATTAAATAAATTAATTTAAGTTTTTCAGTTATTAATTTCATCATAAATGAAATGTTTTGAAATATTGTGTGTGAAATATATACATCTACAAACCCTAAAATATTTTAACATTTTAATAGGAATTATCAACGATATAATCATAAAGGCTTATATATATATATATATATATATATATATATATATATATATATATATATATATATATATATATATATATATATATATTTATATATATATATATATATATATAATATTTAAAATAACTGGCATAAAACTAATCTATTTCAATTAAAATGTACCTACAATGCTAAGTAATCGATGAAAAAAAACCATAAAAGTGTAAGCTACATTATTGTATTGTCTTTACCTATTGTCGTCAATTTAAAAAAAAGATACAGTTTAAAAGTAAGTTCCTTAAAAAATCTAGTTACGCTTTTTTTTTTAAATTTATGTTGCTGTTACGAAACACGGTTAATTACTTGTTTTGAGACATATCGTATTCTTCATTGTGATCTCACATTCGCTATTTGATGGTTTCCTTTTACTGGCTGAGTATTGAATTTGTTCTTCTAAGTCTTGACGTCTTTCATTGGCTGATTTGCAGCACAGTTCTTTGACTGGCATGTTACGCGAAGTTTTATTGGTTTAAAAACACTTTTTTTACGATTTATACGTCGGAAAAGGGAAAACCTTTCTTTATTGAATGCAGTACGTGATGTTTAATTTTTTTTTCAGTATTTAAATACTGTACTTTAGCTAAATTGTATAATATATTTAAATAATTTAAGATTGCTAAATACTCTGTTTTTGCTAAATAATCAAATTTAGCTAAAAACATAATTGACCAATATAAAATAAATGAGTTGAATATGGTCTTTTTGGTAAATGGGGTATATATCATGTAATTGGTCTAAAATGTATGGGACAAACTGAAAATAATGAGTTTAGAAGTATTAATTTTTAATACACAGAAAGGTCTGCTAAGAGATATTAAGCTTAACATTGCTAAAGAGCGAAATTACATGAATGAGATGAATAGTGTAAACATTATAGGGAAGGAAATTAATTGGAACAGTGCTAGTGTGTAAGACCATAATGTTTCTTTAATTACGTGATGTAAATGTATTTATTATTTGATGTTACCTGTTGTTTCCGACGTATGTCATGACACCCTCCTTAACTTTTGATATTGTCACATACGTTCTGTTGTTTTATATTTATTTGATACACTGTGTGAGTGGGTGATTTTGTGTTACAGTGGGGATAAACATCATGTGATAACGTAAATAGGTGATGTAGAAGGTGTGTTGATTACAACAGGTCGATAATGGTGTAGGTGTATGGTATACAACAGTTCAATGATGTTATAGGTGTATGGTATACTACAGGTCAATGATGTTATAGGTGTATGGTATACAGCAGGTCAATGATGTTATAGGTGTATAGTATACAACAGGTCGATGATGTTATAGGTGTATGGTATACAGCAGGTCGATAATGGTGTAGGTGTATGGTATACAACAGGTCAATGATGTTATAGGTGTATGGTATACTGCAGGTTGATGATGTTATAGGTGTATGGTATACTACAGGTTGATGATGTTATAGGTGTATGGTATACAACAGGTCGATAATGGTGTAGGTGTATGGTATACACCAGGTCAATGATGTTATAGGTGTATGGTATACAACAGGTCGATAATGGTATAGGTGTATGGTATACAACAGGTCGATGATGTTATAGGTGTATGGTATACAACAGGTCGATGATGTTATAGGTGTATGGTATACTACAGGTCGATAATGGTATAGGTGTATGGTATACAACAGGTCGATGATGTTATAGGTGTATGGTATACAACAGGTCGATGATGTTATAGGTGTATGATAAACAGCAAGTTGATGATGTTATAGGTGTATGGTATACAACAGGTAGAGACACACCTGAAAAATATATGGATGTTCTGTCAAGAAACCTAATTAGGATTTATTAATTTTGGGTACAATTTTATTTTATTGTTGGCAGAATTAAATAATTCGATACTCAT